AGTTGATATACGTGTCCTCTATTTTTGTGATTATTTATACATGATCTATTTTCAGGGGGGACTGTATATGCATCTCTTTCTCTCTTAGTTGAGCTTCTTTGACCAATTTTTCTGTGTTTTTGTGATCATCTTAAACACATTTTATGTGTGATAAATTCGCTGAATTCCATGATATGTCAGAGATCTTAAAAATAGTTGTTTTTAAGTAAATGTTTTTTTCCCTGTTTCCTTTGTTTGCGTGTTATGTGTGTGTGTGTCATTGTTAAGCACACACACAAGCACTATTGCCCAATTAATTGACGAACTTGAACCTTCAACCTCCCACGTGGGAGGAAAGGAGGAGATACTACTAAGCTAAAGGCTCGGTGATGAGTGAATGCAAGTTAGGCATTTCAACCAATAATTATGTGTTTTTTTTTTGTAAGTATATGAAAATTGAGACATCGTGATATGTATGGTTACTCCTGTATATGCGTCTGGCCACTACCGTATATATTGAAACTAAATAACTTTAATTGTTCAATATCATATTTACATACGGTACAATGAATAGCCATGTTTTTTTTTTTTTTTCGGAGAATGAAGCTAATATTATAATAATTAAAGGAGCTGTACATATGAGGCCTTTGGCCCAAACAACCCATACATGATGGAAACCAAAGCCCAAAGGCTAATAGATACAAGGGCTAGGCCCAATGAAATTAATAACAGAGCATCAAATAACGGCTAATTAGCCGTTAATGGTGGTCTGATACACATCCGGTGATTGGCTTTTGCAGCGATTGAAGCTTAAGGCTTCAAATTTTCAATCAGGTGGACGCGGCGGCGGCCGGCAACAAGACGGCGAAAGATCCCAGTCCTTGAGAATGTGATGTGCAACAATGGAATCCCTGAAGATCCCTAATTTCGTGATAGAGGTGATGGTATGGGAAATCCTTGCCCGAATTGAATTCTGTGATAGCTTTGATCCACGGAAGATACGGGTATTTCTCTCCTCCCAAATGTAATATACCAAAGTCGCGAGGCAGAGCTTTCTAAGTAGATTCCATGGTGATGGAGAAGACCACTGGATACTGAAGACTGAAGCAATTTCCGGCCATGTCAAAGCTGTAATAGAAATCTTGCATTTCGCCTTGAAGAAAGTCCAAATTGGGGAAGTATACTCGCATGAGAAGAACAGATGAGAATGAGATTCTGGGTTGACATTGCACAGAGCACATACATTATCAAATCTAGCCATTGATCTTCTATCCAAAGTAGGGAGGCGACCTTGAACAGCTAGCCACATAATGAATTTCATTCGTGGTATAGCTGGAGATTTCCAAACCAAGTTGTACCATGAAACCAATGGAGAAGAAGGTGATAAGAGAGCTGCAGTATGCTTGTGGCTGAAACTTCCAGATGGTGAGGTTGCCTAAATCAATTTGTCATTCCCTGAATTATTTGGAGCTCCAAGTGCAAGGAGTTCTGGGATTGCCGAAGAGATTGATGCAGGGAAATTCCAAGTTCCACCAGAAATGAAGTGGCTTACTGTGGTTGAAAGGTTTAGACCTGCTGCAGTGAGGATTTGGGAAGGGAAACGAGTGCTCAATGGTCCAGCAGGAAGCCAATTATCGTACCAGAAACAAGTAGACATGCCATTTCCAACTTGGTACTTAATGAAGTTTCTTGCATGGTGCCTCTGTTGAAGGAGTTTCCTCCAACTCCAGGAGCAGGATTGAGGAATTGCTAAAGCCCACAAGTTCTTGCCTTTGATGAGGTAAGTCTTACACCATTTAATCCAAACTCTATCTGACATGTCTGTTAGAAGATCCCATATATATCTAATAACTGCAGCTTGGTTTGAAATAACCAAGTTAGGGATATCCAAACCTCCTACCTCCTTAGGTTTACAAATATCCATCCAAGCAATCTTGGCACTCGTGGACTTCATTTCAATGCCAGACCAAAGGAATGCCATGAGAATTCTATTGATCTCATCAAAAACCCCTTTAGGAAGGATGAATATACTTGACCAGTAGACTTGGGTAGAGACTAGGACAGATTTAATCAATTGTAGCCTACCTGCATAGGATAGTGACCTTGAGGTCCAATGAGTTATCCTGTGTGTGATCCTTTCAATGAGAGGCCTACAGTCAGCTGCCCTTAAACAGGTTGAGATTAGAGGAACCCCCAAGTGTCTAATAGGGAGATAACCTTTATTAATTCCTAGTAGACTTAAAATAGTTGCTTTACTAGAGGGATCTACCCTTGAGAGGAATATTGAGCTTTTGGATAGGTTGATGGAGAGTCCTGACATGGTGCAGAAGTGGTCCAAGGCTGATTTTAGGATGGATACAGATGTAATGTCACCATGGCAAAAGAGAAAAAGATCATCTGCAAATGAGAGATGGGTGATACCCAGCTCTTTGCACCTCCAATGGTATCTGAATCTAGGGGTTCTAGAGATAATATTCTTAACAGTTGAAGTAAAAATATCCATGATAATGACAAATAGGAATGGGGAAATAGGATCACCTTGTCTTAAGCCTCTTTTCCCTTTGAAAAACCCCTTGAATTCTCCATTAATAGCAACAGTGAAGGATGGGGATGTGATACATGCTTGGATTAGCTTGATGAATCTTGGAAGGAAGTTGAGATGGGAAAGACAGTCCAGTGTAAACTCCCATTTAACTGAGTCGAAAGCCTTCTTAAGATCAATCTTAATAGCACACCCTGGGGGGGGGGAATGTCTCTATGATAACCTCTCAATAGCTCATGAGTGAGTAATACTGAGTCAGTAATCTTCCTACCTTGAACAAAGGCTGATTGGGTGTGATCAATGATGTGAGGGAGAGCCAGTTGTAGCTTATTAGCTAAAAGCTTTGAGATACATTTGTAGATGGTGTTGCAGCATGAGATAGGTCTGTAATTATTGATGGTGGAGGGGTTTTGACACTTTGGGACAAGGGAAATGTATATAGAGTTAGCTTCACCTAGCAGCTTACCATTCCTGAAAAACTCAGAGATGGCCTTAATTGTTGAATTACCTACAATGCTCCATGCTTGGTGGAAGAACATGGCATTGTAGCCATCAGGGCCTGGAGCTTTGTCCTTATTTAGAGATAACATGTAAGATTGAATCTCATGTGGAGATGGGATAGATTCCAAAATCTGGTGAAGATGTGAGGGAACTGCCTTGGTGATGACTCTTGAGAGTTCAGCTTGAGTGTGGGTAGTTGGAGGGCTTGTACCAAACAGATTCTGAAAGTATGAGACAATTTCATGAATAATTCCATCTGCATTATCAAGTCGAATTCTATTTGCATTGGTTAAGCTACAAATCTTCTTCCTGTTAACTCTAGAGGCAATTGATTTATGGAAGTAGGATGAGTTGCAGTCCCCAAGCTTAAGCCACACCATTCTGGATTTTTGCTTGAGCATACATTCTTGAAGATCTGAAAGTCTTGTGTACTCCTTAGTAAGAGAGAGATCAAGCAGTCTGAGTTGAATATCACTTGGGGAGAGATCAAGATCCTTTTGACATGTATCTAGCTCCATTTTAACTGCCTGTAGCTTGGAATCAACATTTAAGAAGTCCACCTTGCAGTTGGTTTTGAGGATGTGCTTTAGAGATTTCAGCTTTTTAACCACTTGGAACATAGCTGTCCCAGGAATATAATGGTTCCAAGCACTCTGAACTGATGGTAGAAAGAGAGGGTGAGAGCACCATGCATTGAAGAACTTGAAAGGTAAACATCTTGTGGGGGAGTTAGTATCAATTGTAACTAAAATGGGGCTATGGTCAGATACTCCAGGGGTAAGAAAGGTGCACTCTGATTTTGGAAATGAGGTGTTCCATTGCTTGTTGATGAGGGCCCTGTCAAGCTTTTTGGCAATGCAGGCTGAGCCAAAGCTTTTGTTGTTCCAGGTGTATAAGATGCCAGTGAACCTAAGATCCTCAAGTTCAGCTTGTTGTAAGCATTCACAGAAGGCATTAATGGCTGGATTCCATCTAACAGAACCACCATTCTTCTCAGCTGAATTAGAGATGATATTGAAATCACCCATAACCAGCCAAGGGGAGTTGCCAAATAGAGTAGAATGGTGGTTGATATCCTTCCATAGGGAGAGCCTTTCAGCAAAGTTAGAAGCATAAATGAAAGAGGAGTAAAAGGTGATATTTTGGTCGATGATGGATATAGAGCAGTGGATGGATTGCTTAGTTGTACATACAACATCAAGATCAATGGTATTAGGATTCCACATAACCCATATTCTGCCAAGCTGGGAGAAAGAGTAGTTGTGGACAAGGTGCCAGTGAGCTGCAATTTTATTGTGGATTGCATCCACATTAACTGGGGAGACTTTAGTTTCTATAATAGATAGTATATCTAGTTTCTTCTCAGAGATCATCTTCTTGATCTCAGCCTGTCTAGAGGGCATGTTTAGCCCCCTAATATTCCATGCTAGGATGGAAATCATTGGGGAGTGGTGGGAAGTGAGGGATCTGGATACCTTTGAATCCCACGGGACTCATAAGATATCAAACCTGGGCTAAGGCTTTTGTTTCTTCTTACTTGAGACTTCATAAGTCTGACTGTGGATCTTCTTGGGGTTATACTTGGAGCACTGTGATGATCATGATCTCTTGAGCCAGAATGAAACTGCGCAGGTATTGTAATTGGTGATGTGGTGGTTGTGTATGTTTTTGGAATAAGCTCAGGAGCACTGTGATGATCTTGGTTCCTTGGGATTGTGTGAACCTTCACATGTGTCGCTGTTGGTGAAGTTGGGATAATAGATGAGGATGCAGGGTTTGATGTGGGGCTATTATGGTTTGAGTAGCATAGCTTTTTACAGCATGAAGGTGAAGGTTGTGTTCTCACTAGGACTTTAGGATTTTGAGATGCTGATCTTTGAGGTGATTTTGATACATTGCCATTGTCTTGCAGCTTGGAGTGGGTAGAGGGATTGGAAGGTAAAGATGGAGGGGTTGGAGATACATGTGATGGGGAGTGTTATGAGGATTGGTGTGGATTGGTGTCATGGTTGGCTTGTAGAAGAGGGGAGAATCGATTATTAGTGTGAGAATCATTTGTTGGAGCTTTATTCCCAGGCTGCCTTCTTCTCTTCCTGACAGTAATCCAATCATTTGAGGGGCTTTTGGGGGGTGGGCTATTATCCCTTGCAGGGGTGTGTTCAGTGACATTCAATGGGCATGAGAACTCTGTGTGGTTGAGCTTGTTGCACCTTTTGCATATTTTGGGCAGCCATTGGTACTCAATACCAATTCTTTCAATTGTATCATCCTCCATTATGAGTTCAACTTCAGTTAAAAGGGGCTGCGAGATGTCAATATCAACACAAATTCTTGCATATTTGAGTTTAGTTCTGCTTACTGTTGCTTGATTTGCATAAAGGGGGACCCCTACTGAGCTAGCTATGTGACTAAGACCTGTTGCAGTCCAGTAATGGGTAGGTATATTGAAGAATTTAACCCAAATTGGGATACAAGAGGCTGTGCTTTGGTGTGGTGGAAGCTGAAGGCTCCATTTCTTGAGGGAGAAGGGATGCCCAGCTAAGTTCCAAGGGCCATTTGTGAGGACATTTTCAGCTTCATGGCTGGTGCAAAATCTAAAAATGTAGGAACCATTGTCTCCAAGTATTGTGTCAGTGAGTCCATAGGAGTTCCATATCTTAGTTGCTGAAGATTGAATGACTTTGAAAGGAAGTCTTTTGTGTGTGGGTAGTCCAATGAGGTGGGTTTCCTGCCAAAACCTTATGCCTTCCATTGCCACTTCCTTTGGAGGTTTAATGACAGACTTACCGTAAGAGGAAGATGGTTTAATGTAATCTAAGACCATCAAGTTGGTTTGTTGGGAGACTCCTTCAGACCATTTCTTTGACTTGGTAAGCTCATTTGACTTGGTAGGTTCATATGGCTTAGTTAGCTAATTTGACTTGGTTGGCTCATTTGACTTGGTAGGTATAGCTTTTTCAGTGATGTGATGGGTTAGGTTTAATAGTAGGAGGGGTTGAGCACTGTTTGGTGAGCTCTGTTGGAAGTGTAGGGTGTGTGGGAGAAAGCAGTCTGAGTTTTTGCCATTTTGGTGTATAGGGGTGGTAATGTGTTCATGCACTTTATTGACCAATGGACTATCATTTAAATTTGAATTCAAATTCAAACCTGTTTCTGATGCTTCCTGTGCAGGTTGTCCACGTGCTAGGGTGGTGGTGGTAGTGGTGGTGGTGATGGTTGGGACTGGTGGTGGAGGACTTGCTTGTTGATGCTGATAATGTGGAGCCTTTTCACTTGCTGCCTGTGGCCTTGCTGTAGTAGGCTCACTCATTGGTGATAGCTGGTTACATTGTTCCAGTTGTTTTTTGGCCTCAGCTAGATCTTTTCTCAATTCTGAAACAAGCTTCTTCTGTTCTTTGTACATATCCATTACTTTCCCCAGGTTTTCGTCCTTCCACTCGAGCTGTTCTTGAAGTCTTTCAATTTGGTGGCCTGGAGAGCTGTACAAGAGGGGGTTGAAGTTCTTGGGTGGGTAAAGTTTTGGGGAAGCTACTGTCTTGCATTGTGAGGATTTGTTTGGTGATTTAGGGATGACATTTGTGCCTGAAATGACTTTACTTTGAACCCGGACTAGACTAGTTGTAGATGAAGGAAAATGTACATGTGGTTTACCAGAATAAGATGATGGGATTGGAGGGTGAAAGATTTCTGTTTGTAAGATGCTTGCCTGTGGCTTAGAGGTGGTTTGAACAATTCTTCTTTGGTATGTCTGTGTTGAGTTTTGCTTGGGAATGAAAGGTGGTTTCAAATGGTTTAGGGTGGGATTTTTTAACGAGGGAGTCTTGGATTGGTTTAGATGATTTGTAGATGTTTTGGAATGGGTTTTAGACTGATTTGGATGTTGTATAGGAGATTGTAGATGAGGGTTTCGCTGTGTTTTCTCCATTAAGACTGGTGAACTATTGATAAAACATTCAATAATGAATAGCCATGTTAGTATCCCGTGTGGGTAGGTGCTAGGAGTTGAATTGTTATATTGTTCAATTGTAATTGTGAAAATGTGAGTAAAAAATAGAGATGTAGAACTTTATATATATGTGTTGCATATTTGTACAACTTTATATGTGTTGCATATTTTCTAATTAGTGTAGATTGTATGATATATATATACACATGTGTAACGTGTTTGATATTTGGAAGCAGTTAAACAGCTACTTGAGTCTACTATTTTTTCTCTTTTTGGGTTTTGAGCTATTTAAGCTCATAAAAACCATATTTCTGCTTGTGTTGTTTAGATATCTATTTGATATGCATTTTGATGTAAATTAAAAATGAGAGGAAGAGAAAAGGAAATAGAGCATTAAAATTGTTTCACTTGTAAGATATTTTCTTATATTTGTGGCCTACATGATTTGGACACGTGATTTACTTCTTTTATTTGGTGGTAAAATAAAATAGATATCTGATTAATATTATATTATTTGGTCAACTTATAAATTACCTTTTTAGTAATTAATTATTGGAGAAGTGTTTTCCTATTTATTCTTTACTTTGATGGAAAGTGGAATTAAAGTTACTAAAAGGAAAACTGATCATTTCTCTGCCTTTATATAAAAGTGCATATTCCCATCAGTTATGTACGCTAATGAAATAACACGTATAATGTTTATGTGTGCAAAAGGTCAAGAGAGAGAAATCAGTTTCCACACTTTGACTTGCAGTTTATCACGTTGTTCGTTCCGCAGAAAGGACCTCGACATTTGCCTTGATATCTACGATATTTGTAATATTACAGATCGAGGTATTTATATCTAACTATTTATTTATGCATTATAGATTATGTGAAAATAATGAAGTTTTAAGATCTTGAGATTCATGTTTATTTGTGATTAATAATTTGCACGAATAATTATAGTTTAGATGTGATATCAAAGCTTATGGTTTAGGAACTCATTGTTTTCCATTAGTGTTGCATAAATAATATATAAATATAAAGTAAAAATTAAATAATTGTATAATTTAATTTTTATTTGAAATCAATATTATATACACACGGTATTTATTTTGATGGATCGATCTGTGAGACTATTCACGAATTATTTGGATCAGTTTTGTATTATATTATGCATATGAATGTCGATGATAGATTGAAGTTGCTAGCATGTGGCATTATAATTGATGCTTTAGAAATTCACGGTTTTGACATAGTTGGCTAAACAGGAAGATACATCATACATATATTTGTTTCTTGGTTTTTGTGCATGTTTTGAATGGCATCTGGAAAAACAGATTAAGTACTACTTGATTGCAAGATGGGTTATAATGTTTTGGTTGTACTGTGTATCAATAAATGACTTGATTGCATTATAAAAAGAGTCATTCAAGTTGAATTTTTGCTTCTGATTATTTTACTACTTGAAGAAACTGACTATTACGTAGTCATTGTCCCATTAATTAAATACATAAAATTTGTATCTTAATTTATTTTTGAATTTCTAGAATAATACGTGTATTTAGAAATTTGATCTTATTAGACATGCAAATAAATTATTGTATTTTGTATCCAAACATACATACATATTGGAGAATCAATTTTAAATTGATTCAATTATGATCTTCAAGTCTGGAAATAAAATAATATGTTTTTATTATGTATATAAAATAAAAAGATATTTTCTTTAAAATTTTATACTATTAAGTTTTTGAGATCGAAGTTGCTTAAACTTCAATCGATAATTATGAGTATGTATGTATAATTTTAAATAGGTAACTCAATGACGAATTACTTATTGTCTAATTTAATATTCATATTATGTAAAGATTGGCAATCTACTAAAGTGGCCCAATCATAATGATTGATGAATATTAATTTTTGTAGTAGACATAATTAATAATAAATTAGTTACTAGCTAATTTAATATTCATATTATGTAAAGATTGGTAGCTACCTAAGTGGCCCAGCCATAATGATTGATGAATATTAATTTTAGTGGTAAAAATAATTGCAATATTTCATGAATTATGATCCTTTTGATTTTTTGTGATATTCATGAATATTGAGTTTATTTGACCATGAGAAATAATTCCTCAAAGGTAATTGATTTTCAAGTGATTAAATAAAAATTAAGGGGTTGTATGTATTTTTTAATTAGGTAGATATAGGATATCCAAAGGTAACTTATTTGTTTAATTAAATAATGCATCACTAATGAAGGTATACATATAAATACATGTAAGTATCATTATTAGTATTTTATATTTGTCACCCAAAGGGGTACTATAGTTATATGTTGTATTTATATTTTTAAGTTATACATACGTATTATTAACTTAAAGTATTATTGTTATGAGCATTTATCTTATTATGTTTGTTTTATTACATCTCTTAATTCACATGCTACATCTATTCTGATTCTCAATAGGACTAACTTCTCATAATGGAATGAGTAAGTTAAGTTCAAAATTTAGGTGTGCTAAATCTTGAATAAGCATTTTAAATTAAGAAACCTAATGTTATTACTGATAAAGAAAGTGAGGAAGAAAATATACTACATAAAGCTTGTGACAGATCGAGCAGATTAAGCATTATGGTTATACGAATAATTGTTTCCCATAGTGATAGTGCTAAGGAATATTTGACTATAAGAATGTTTTCGTATTGTAGATAAATGTCTAAAACGAAATTATTAATTGATATCATTACTATGCATTTTTTTGTTGGTACTCATTGTGACGACCCTGGATTTTTCAACCCAGTATGTCCTATAATGACCTAAAGTGGATCCAGAATGCGGAAGTAAGAAATAAGACAACAGTCTCCTAAGGCACAACACACCTCTAAGAACCTAAGATAACCTTCTATGACGTCACAGAACCCGAAGGAATAAAGTGCGGAAGCAACTTGAAAACAAGTCCATAGAGATGTACGTTATCCCTAGGACATAAGAATGGACTTTCAAAGAGTTTCAAGGCTCAATGGAAGCAAAACGAAGATAAATGTATCAAAGCCCTACCAAAAGAAGGACTAAGGGTAAAACGGTCATTTTACCCTTAGAGGAAGGAATTTGACTTCCAACAAGTCAAATGAGATCAAAAACATCCAAAAACATCCTTTGGTAACTTCACATGAAGTCCCAAGACCAAAGGAAGAGAAATCCCAAATGAACCCTATCCCAGTTCGAACCAAAACCGACACCCTCTCACTAAAACAAGGATATCTTGAGCTAGAAGAAGAATCTGAAGCTAAAATTTGTACCATTGGAAATTTTACTTCGACACGGTCAATTTAGACTCAAGAATGGACCAATTCGGAGTTAAAACGAAGAAGTAGCGGCAATTCAAAATTGGAAGACCAAAGCTGAACCTGCAAACAGGTTCTGCAAGACTTGAACCGGTTCAACATGAACAGTATGCCCATGCTGGACCAATTTTGACATCCTGAACCGGTTCAACCATCTTGAACTGGTTTAACCTTGACAAAAACAGTAAAATGCAGCAGAAACAATGTATTTACAGAAAACTAGTTTGGAACACGATTTTCGAGATCAAGATAACATTTTTTGGAAAAATGTCATGAAAAAACTCCCCCTAAAATCACATTTTCTATGTGACAAAGTTAAGAACGGAATTTATTTCTCAAAGAAAATCCCCAAAATACCCTTGAACCGGATTATGCGAGAAAAATGTGAAATGAGTCCGTAGGAGGCTCATTTCACCAACGAAAGAGTTTTTCATGAAAACGATCTTGCACGCAAATGTAACTTACCTATTAAGACGTGCTACAATGACCCACACCTTAAAAATACTGCCGATGTAAAATCCGACCCCCTGACGGCCAAAAAGGCAAAAATGAACATGAAATGGAAATTTTGAAATCTAAAATTATAAAATGGAGTCAAATGACCATTTGGCCCTTGGCTAACTTCAAACATGATTAATGGGACCCTATGAAAAAATGAAAATGGAATTACCACACTCGATGCACCCATGGTGATACAATAACTTAACATTTTTCAATATTTTTATAATATTTCAAGAAGTCAAAATTTACATTTGATACAAAATACATGTCATTGACTTCCGGCCTCATCTCATACATGTCAAATACGAAACAAAAGGTGTACTTATGTACACATTACATATATGAAATCAAATATACACGTTTTGACATAAAAAGCTACAAAAGGCATCTCATGCTAACATTTGCATGAAATGGAAACTTAAAAGCCACTAGTCATCCAAGGAATGATGAGCATCCCGAACCAAGTCTTCGTACCTGAACAAAATCCCCAGTAACTTTGGGGTGAGTAAACAAGTTTACTCGTAGAGAATGAACATGCATAGACTCGATTTCTTTAGAGATTTTTACATTAACTTGAAACAATTGAAAAGGGACATGCCACTTAACGTCTATGTTAAAGTGAGACTCAG